GTGTGTGTGTGTGTGTGTGTGTAGCTTCGTTGTTAATAACAGTCACTGTCACAATTTTAGTTTTTGGAGGGGCTGCACACAAACACTCAACCTCCCCAAAATAGCTCTCTCACATACAGCTTCCCTTTCGCAGTTCTCTGTAGCTCCATGATAGTGACAAAAGATCCACAGCCTCCCGTTGACATTCCATCTCGCAACAATGATCAAAACTCACTAGTACCCTCCCAATGTCAAACATTTTCATCACAGCCTTTGACTCACACACCCTCAACCTCCCATTCCTGTGAGCACAGACTCCCACAGCCTTCAAGAGCTTCAGGACTTCCCGCTGAGGGCAGCCTGCACACACATGAGCCTCTATATTCAGCCTCCCAGGCACATCCACCTGGACCTCACAGAGCCTCCCCAGAACCTCGCTGTGGATGCAGGCTTGAACCAAGACTCAGGCTTATCACACGCAGCCTCTCACAGGCCCAGCTGCCTCCAGATGGCTGCTTTTGCTCTCTGCCCAAGGCAGAGCTGATTCACAACCCCACTGCTTCTCCTTCCATCTAGGAGGCTCCCTCTGTTTGGAGAGATGGTCTGTGCTCTGAGACTTGTCTAACTAGGGTGAAGAACCCACAAAGCTGGGGTTAGGGACACAGAAGGAGGTCATGTTGCACAGAAGCCAGGGGAAAGGAGAAATACTCCAATGTGCATACTGATCTTCGGGCTCCTGCCAAACTGGGAGAGTGGTGATGCAGAATGAGGGGTCCTAATTCTCCCTGCAGTGTCTGGTAATGTCCCCTCCTTCAGAATCCTACTTAACTCCCCACCCCCTCCTCCTCCTCCACTAACACTTCAGTTGTGCTGGGAAGAGATGGAGGCTTTGGGATTTCCTAACACTCGGGGCCACCAACAGCGCTTCAAAGACTCCACAGGATCTAGGTGTGTCTTCCCTCCAAACCCCTCTGCTAGTCTCCACCAACTTGCTCCTCAACTCACAGCTAGGCTCTCACAGGCTGGGGTCTGGGTGCCCAAAATTGCTGTGAGGGCCTATGGGGAGAGGGGGCAGAGTGGTGGGCGGGGGCCCTGACCTGGATGACACGCATGTTGAGGCCGGTCTCTTGGGCCAGCTGCTCGCGGATATGGCGGGTGGGCTTGGGCGTGGCAGCGAAGGCCGCCTTCAACGTCTCCAGCTGCTTGGCTTTAATGGTGGTGCGTGGCCCCCGCCGCTTGGCACCTAGATTCTGGTCGTCATTCTCGTTGCTGCCCCCTTCCTTGTCTGACACGTTGGCGCTCTCCGAGTCCTTGGCATCATCCTGTGATGGATCTTGAGAGTCTGGAGACAAACTAGGGTCGCTGCCCGTGGTGGCTGAGGAGAGTGAAGGGACAGGTGAGCAGCAGCCTTGGTGGGCCTGCGTCTCCCAGGACCCGCCCGCCCCTGGGGAGCCTGGAATTGGGTCCTCACCCGAGTGGAGACTGTTCTCTTTGGCGACACTGCTGTTGCTTAGATAGTCCTCTTTGCACACAAACTTGTTCTCGTCGATGATATACAGCTCCTCGCCAGTGGAGAGTTGCTTGTTACACATCATACACGTGAAGCAGTTCAGGTGAAACACTTTGCTCCGCGCCCTCCGCACCAGGTCACTGGGGGAGATGCCCTGCGCGCAACCCGCGCATTTGGTACCGAAACACCTGCAGGGGACCGGGTTGGACAGGAGAAGACAGAAGCCGGGAGAAAGAAAAGAACAAGAGACAGAGAAAGAAAAAGAGTAGGAGAATGAACAGGAAGAAAGCGAAAAGAAAGGGAGAGAGAGCCAGAAAGAAAGAGAAGAAGCAGAATGCTGATTAAGGGGGTGAGGAGGTAGGAGGAAAGCGCAGGGCACCAGGGGGAAATCATGGAGGTGACACACACGGTTAAAGCCATGGGCCCAGCTGCCAGCACGGACTCCGGTTCAGCGTTATCCCAGAGCAGCAAACCGCCTTGTGTGTGTGTGTGTGTGTAGCTTCGTTGTTAATAACAGTCACTGTCACAATTTTAGTTTTTGGAGGGGCTGCACACAAACACTCAACCTCCCCAAAATAGCTCTCTCACATACAGCTTCCCTTTCGCAGTTCTCTGTAGCTCCATGATAGTGACAAAAGATCCACAGCCTCCCGTTGACATTCCATCTCGCAACAATGATCAAAACTCACTAGTACCCTCCCAATGTCAAACATTTTCATCACAGCCTTTGACTCACACACCCTCAACCTCCCATTCCTGTGAGCACAGACTCCCACAGCCTTCAAGAGCTTCAGGACTTCCCGCTGAGGGCAGCCTGCACACACATGAGCCTCTATATTCAGCCTCCCAGGCACATCCACCTGGACCTCACAGAGCCTCCCCAGAACCTCGCTGTGGATGCAGGCTTGAACCAAGACTCAGGCTTATCACACGCAGCCTCTCACAGGCCCAGCTGCCTCCAGATGGCTGCTTTTGCTCTCTGCCCAAGGCAGAGCTGATTCACAACCCCACTGCTTCTCCTTCCATCTAGGAGGCTCCCTCTGTTTGGAGAGATGGTCTGTGCTCTGAGACTTGTCTAACTAGGGTGAAGAACCCACAAAGCTGGGGTTAGGGACACAGAAGGAGGTCATGTTGCACAGAAGCCAGGGGAAAGGAGAAATACTCCAATGTGCATACTGATCTTCGGGCTCCTGCCAAACTGGGAGAGTGGTGATGCAGAATGAGGGGTCCTAATTCTCCCTGCAGTGTCTGGTAATGTCCCCTCCTTCAGAATCCTACTTAACTCCCCACCCCCTCCTCCTCCTCCACTAACACTTCAGTTGTGCTGGGAAGAGATGGAGGCTTTGGGATTTCCTAACACTCGGGGCCACCAACAGCGCTTCAAAGACTCCACAGGATCTAGGTGTGTCTTCCCTCCAAACCCCTCTGCTAGTCTCCACCAACTTGCTCCTCAACTCACAGCTAGGCTCTCACAGGCTGGGGTCTGGGTGCCCAAAATTGCTGTGAGGGCCTATGGGGAGAGGGGGCAGAGTGGTGGGCGGGGGCCCTGACCTGGATGACACGCATGTTGAGGCCGGTCTCTTGGGCCAGCTGCTCGCGGATATGGCGGGTGGGCTTGGGCGTGGCAGCGAAGGCCGCCTTCAACGTCTCCAGCTGCTTGGCTTTAATGGTGGTGCGTGGCCCCCGCCGCTTGGCACCTAGATTCTGGTCGTCATTCTCGTTGCTGCCCCCTTCCTTGTCTGACACGTTGGCGCTCTCCGAGTCCTTGGCATCATCCTGTGATGGATCTTGAGAGTCTGGAGATGTCGCTGTTGCTGGACTCAGACAATACTAAGAAGGGGTTTCCCATAGCCAGAACCCTCCTGGCCCGGCCCTGGAGCGTCCCGGGCCGCTTCACCTCCCGCACCCGCCGGCGCCTCGCCGCCTCCCTCCCCGCGGCTCCTGGCGCCCCGCTGGCTGTGCGCGCCCGCGGTCGCCCAGTGTCTGCGCCGCCCGCGGACCAGGCGCGCACGCCCGCGGGGTCTTTCCACAGTTCCAGCTCCAGGTAGGAGGGTGGGGAAAGGTCTGCGTTTGCCTTGGGGCGCCCCAGTTCTGCACCTTTCCTGCCAGCGAGCAAATCCTAGTCTGGCCTTGAGGTGGGTTTGGATCCGATTTCGTGTTCCCCTTTCCCATCCCGTCTCCCCAGACGGAGAATGGTCCCCGAGGCTGGGGAAAAGGGGTGAGGACTTGCTTTTACGGTTTTTTTTTTTTTTTTCTTAAATAAAAGTTCATTTCTGTACAACCACGAACTCTGCGCGGACCGTGCGAGGCTCGCTACCACACGGCCGCCTCGTTCATTTCTGGGGGGTGGGACAAGTGGTTCCCGTAACTCGCCCCGCCGTTGACCGACAGTGACGAGAAGGGCGGGCTGGGCCCGAAGACCTCGGCCGACATGGAGTGCAGGGGCCCGGGCAGGCTGGGTTCGGGGCTGGGAGAGTCCCCGGGGGGATGCGCCAGGATGTCGGTGAACCGCTGAGCCTCGCTCGACGGGTGGTGGCCGGGCAGCGGATGCTCCAGGCCGCCCAGCGGCGTCCCGGACGGCCCGGACGACGGCACGAAGGGCAGGTCCACCGGCGTCTGGGCCTGCGAGGATGGAGGGCCTTGCGGGAAGAAGTCGTAGTTGCCCCCGGGACCGTAGTACTCGCTCTGATAATCTGCAGGACCGTGGGGAGGAGGTGGTCAGGGCGGGGCCCTAGGGTGGGGCCCTGGGGTGGGTGGAGAGCCCGGGGCGTGAAGCCGCGCTCCAAGCCGGACTTGGAGGGCGCAGCGCCGGGAACCCGTGGGCGCGCCGAGGGACTGGGGGCAGAGAGGAAGCAGGGCACAAACGCAGGAGCTGCTCCCTCCCGCCCACCTCTCTCGGGGTCGGGATCGGCCATTGACCTCACCACCTCCCTTGGATTTACTCCTCAGCCTTCCCCCTTGGCTCCCTAACTCTCCAATTCTCAGAGAAAACGAGGAGCACCTCCCGCGCTGCCACCCGCTTCCAGCGAAGCCATTCCCGGTCTGACTGCACCTCGCAGCCTGGCCGCGCACCCACCTCCGTAGAAGGAGAAGGGCCCGTTGGGGATGAGCTCGCCCGGCTCCAGGCGGTCTACGAGCGGCCGCATACGCCGCGGACTGCGGAAGAAGGCGTGGCGCCGTGCGCCCAATGCGCTCAACTGCTTCATCCTCCGTTCTTTGGAGCGCCGGTTCTGGAACCAGACCTAAAGGATATGCGGCGCGGGGTGAGGCCCGGGAGTATCCATCCCCTAAAGCCAGGTACGCGGCCCAGCCCTTCACCCCTCCACTGCCCGACTTCGGGAGCTTGGGCTTTATGTGTTCTGTTGTTCGTGGTAGTGTCTTAGCGTGGAGATCGCGCTAGGTGGACCCTGAGCCAATGGTAAACAGGATTCCCGACAGGACAATCTGGGCAGGTCGCCCAGTCCGACGTGAGGCGGTGTGTGTGTGTGTGTGTGTGT